AAAAGAGTTAGTTAACTTATCCATACATTAGTTTTTCTTAAATACTGTAAATCAAATTTAGATATTCCATTATTCATATACAATGTTTCCCTCTTTACTTGCTCACAATATTGATTATTTTTTTTCTTATATATTTTATTTAATTTGGTGTCATTTGATGCAAAACTGCATCGACAACAACACCAACAACAACATATCCAGTATATTCCCAACAAAACTGCATCGAACTGAATAAAATAAAAAACGAAAAACTATAACCACACCGCAATGTAAAAAAAATCGAATTGAAACCGAACTAAATTTTTTTCACATAAAAAGACCGAATCGAACAACACCAATTATACGATTTGGGTCGATTTTTTGTTTTCAGCTCGGTTTTGCTCAACCTTAAGTTTAAGGCATGCACATTTCATATCGCTTGGTCCACAGGACTTAGGACCTTATCAAGGAACAACCAATGAAATCTCACCACACATTTCCATCCCAATGATATAATTGAAAACACTATCCACAACCTTACCTTACTATGTATCTCAATTTCTATCTTCACTTAAAAAATCTCACTTCCTCTCAAGACTTGAGAGATGTCTAGTTGATTTACAAAATTCATGGCCCATTTTGCCCCTATTAGGCCTCACACAGCAAAACCTTCAATCTCCACATATTCAAGCAAAAAAACCCATTTGCCTTCTCATAGGTTGCTCAAAGTCTTGGCTTGCTCTAATGTTTCTTATCAAGAAAAACATGTCCAAAGGAGGCGAGTAACATAGCTCTTTCTCTTTTTCAATTTCCATGAATGTGTGCGTGTGTGTGTGTTTTTTTATTTTTTATTTTTATATATTTTATCCTTCAAATTCTATATTTATTCGTTTCAAACTTCAAATTTTGGTGGTTTTACTGTTAGATAGTCATATTTTTTCAACATATACGTGTACTTTTAAATTGAAATGCCGTACTCTAATGAACATTATAAATAAAAGTACGATATTTCACATAATTTGGTTAAGGATGTATGATGTGCCGACCCACCTAATGATTAGACTCTCATATGAATTATTTTATCCTAGGTAATTCTAGCTTTTACCTTTACTATGACTAAAGACAAAATGACCAATGGAAAAGAAAGGCTGAACATTTTATTCTATTTTATTTTATAATTTGTGTGTAAAAATGCCCTTGGCTTTTGGAGTTTTGGTTGCACTTCAAGGTTAATTTCGGTAATTAACCCAAAAAATGCCAATTATGAAAATAAAAACACTTTACAATGCAGGTGTCTAGCATTGGTTATGGCAAGTGCAGCTGTGGCATTGAGCTCCGGCGGTGGAAATGCGGTGGCTGCCGCCAGGCGGCCGCCACCACCTCCGCCGGAGGAGAAAAAAGACCCGAATTTGACCGGTTTGACTGCAAAACTTCTTGCAAGCAAGAAGAGGAAAGAGGCCATGAAAGACTCCATTGCCAAGCTGAGAGAAAAAGGAAAGCCCATTCAAGAGCCATCTCAATAAGCTGGCTGAGGCTATTTTGGTCATTTTGTAAGACTCGAATCAGCTGAACAAAAACTCTGATGAGGAACCAAATGCAGATTCATGTTTCAGGTTTTTCGACAAATTTTTAATAATATCGTCGTTGAAGTGCAAATGAATTGGGATGCAGAATTTACAGAATCTATTGCAAATGATTCATTTCCATCAAACTACAGAACACAATAAACACTCGTGAGGGTTTCGATTTTCGGCCCATGAATAAGCAAATAACCATCTTTTTTCAGCAGATAACTAGCAATTTAATTGTTTGATTGAGCAATGAACCTGGGAACTTTCATGCCGAATCCATGCTTTGCCCTCTCGACTCTGTTCAGAAACATCGATTAAGTCATTAGTCTTTTCGAGTGATGATTGAAACACAAATGGTTTATAGATTTTGCAAGTGCTTGAAACACCAAAAGNCTACATTGGTACATAAAGCTCGGATTTAACAAAAACGAGATATGAGATAATTAGATAAGTAGAGGAATTTAACAAAAGCTCGAATTAAGGCTAAGATTCGTACGTGAGTAACTAAAATGGCAATTTTCATCGAATAATAAAAAGAAAGAACTTACGTGGGAGCAAGTTTGCCTAAGCCGTCTAATTCTTCTCCGGTTTGCTCGTCAATGACAGTCCCATTAATCTCAACAAGATAAGATCTGTTTCTAGTGAGAGGAAGGCCTCTGCTAGCAAGCAAATCAAGATCTTTCGAATGAAGTTCACGCCCATTCACAAAAACTCCTGTGCTCCCAGCAGAACAGTTATCGGGCATTGGATAATCGAATTCTTCAATATTTGGCTGCAATAACAACACATCGAGCATCGTTACAGCTGATAATCAATTAATCATAACGAAAAAAAATTAAAATAGTAAAAAAAAAGAAACGTCCGAATTTAATTGATAAAACTCACCATGATTATACCAAGACAAGGATGGCCAATCACGCCCCAGAATCCAGCGCGCTTATCGTACCTGATTTGTTTAAGATATTCGGCAAACGATCAATTAGCATTTGGACCAAAATGATCAATTAGCTACTATAATAATCTTAAAAATGGAGATACATCATTTGATAAGGAAGGAAGAAATGCAAAAGATCGTAAAATTGGATGAATAATACTCAGAAAATGAATATGAGGCACTAGAAAACCTTAAGTGGAATGAACTGTTAAAATGGATTGCTCTACTCTATAACGAGTTTTNNNNCAAGAAAATGCTCCAGGTGAACATTAATTAGCTACTCCAGTTCATGTTAAGTAACTTGCCCCCAGAATAAATTTAGATTTTCTATTTTTTTTTTTTCAATTTTGCCACTAAAGACCCACAGAGACCAAGTAATACAGAAGAACACTATCACATTTAGCTAGACCAAAACTGCAGTTTATAGCCAGATAGACATAATACACTTCAAAATCATGTAGCATCACTAAAGAACTAATTGAAACAGAGATGCATAACAAATTTGTGCAAGATTAATCAATAATTTAAACCATGTAAATTAACTAAAACACATACCAGTATTCTCCTGGTTGAATTGGCCCTGCTGATTTCTCAGCCCGTTTAACCACACGTTCGGGTATAAAATGCCCGTTAACATAAACCTGTTGAACTCCAGCTTCCATGCCTTGGTTGGGCTTTTTGAAGTCCTTGAAGCTCTTCTTGATAAGACCCGTAAAAAATGAGTCGCGCCCTTTATTGGCCTTTGGTTCAGCTTCTTTAACTATTTTCACCGAGTCATGAGAAACACAGCCATTCGAAAACTCGTTAGATTTCTGTTGAGACGCATTTCGCTCAAGAGTAACCTTCTCCTGCTCGGGCCTTTGACTTTTGTTCCTCTGGTCAAAACAGTTGACTTCCATATTCTGAACATCTTGAGGCAAATCAAGATCGGGTGAGAGACTCGAAGCCGACGAAAGCTGATCCACCAACTTCTCAGACAAGAGAAAGCTCGATTTATTGTCAACTGGCGAAAATCGATCCTGAAAATTTTCGTATTCATTAGAATAGGTGTTCAGATCAGCACTATTGAACCCACCATTCGAATATCGCGCGTTCTCGTCAAAAGTTCCACTCGAGCACTCGTCCATCTCAGTCGATACTTGGTCGACATGCACAGAAGAAGCTGACACAATAAATTCTCCCTTATCCCCAAGCTCGAACACGATAATCGACGAACAAGCCCCACATATCAACTTCTGTTTGCTTTCACCCAACAAAACGCGTCTCCTCGGAATTTTAAGCACCTCGAAGCAATTACTGCACCCTATAAAAGGGGCCCCGCCAGCCACCGGGCTTTTATGGCCCGCAACAAACTTTCTCGGGTGGCGGTAGTTCAAATTCAAACCATCATTTTCAAAATACACGTTGTTAGAATTCACGAACGGCAATTTTCGAGGCTTTATTGCGCGTAAGTTCGAGCTCTTATCATAGCAATGCATGCACGAGCATGCGGGCTGATGGAGAAAGTTCTTCTCACGACGATTTAACATGAAGTGATCAAGATTGTTTTTTTTAACATCCCCATAATAACAGCTTGGGCTGTGATGATGATAAGGGTGGGGTCGAACATACTGCGAGTGGGGCTCGTAAGAAGGCCCGCGGAGAATTTCGGGCTTGTATGGACACGAACTGTACTTGAGAGAGTCGGAAAAATAAGACGGGCCCACGTCATTTGGGATATTGAGCGGCTGCTTTTTTGAATTTTCGGTGAAATTATAGGCCGACTTATCCGAAATATTGCACGAACGGCTGATCTGATCTTTCAACTCGTCGAGCTTCCGTATGAGCTCAGTCTCGTAACTCGACTGCCCCTCGTCAAAATATCGGGAATCGACGAACCTTATTTGTGAAGAGTCACTTCTCTCGCAGGCCCATTTGTTCAAACCGGGCCTCGGCCTTAACGGCTCCATGGGAGGCCGATGGCCTCTGACATATTCGTCAGGAAAATGGAAATATTCAGAACCGAACACATTTGGGCCGCGATTGATGGGCAGGTTACGGTTACTTTCGAGATTTCTAATCCTTTCTTTTCCTCTCCTAATCAGACCAGAATCGGACTTTGCTTCTGTACTTTCGGCAAGCGATGAGGAAATACCGTTGCCAGTTACTTCTTCTTTACGAGCTTCTCGTAATATGCTGGCCTCGAAATTTTCTGCATTTGCCATTTTAACCTCGGAAGCTTCAACTACATTGCTTTCTTCTCGAATTTCTTGGCCCGTGCCATCGTCTGATATATCAGGCAGTTCATCTTCCAGGACTCCTTTATGTTTTGCTGTGCAACCAAAATAATTACTGATGTACAAAAGGGGTGATAAAAAAGAGGCACAAAATCATGAATATGACACATTTGAATCATTTAAACAACCTTCTCCTTGTGAAATATGCAATTATTTTAAGCGAATAATCGTATGAGAAATGCATAAAAGGCAACAGACCTGATTCAAAATCAAGCCCTTTCATTTTTAAATAAATGTCATTATGAAAAAAACACAATAATCAAGAACTATTAGATCAGACACTGTGCAGATCAAAACTGGTATTTATGATGTTCTTTTTTCTGTAAATATTGCACCTTCAATTACAACCAGACAAACCAAGTGCTAGGATTCATGCCAGAATAGCTAAAAAAAGTTCCTTAATTGCCACAAAAGAAACAATTTTCACAAGGAAAACTCATATAACACACAAAAGTGTTGCAAAAACACATTCAACCAGCAGCTCAGGCACCAAATCAAGAACTTTCCCAAACAGAGTACTGACTAAATCTGGTTTCAACAAGAACACACACACAATCCACATGTAAATGGACTGTACGAACTGTACCTTTGAGAACCGCACCACAGCCACCACACTGGTAAAGAGAGAAATCAGGGAGCTCAGGGAGGAGATTTTCACATTTGGGGCAACGTACTAACCTCACCTTAGTTCCTTCAGCCATTAATATATAAATTATTTTATTTTTATTTTATTTCATTTCATTTATTTATTTTCACCTGATAATACATCACCAAATTGACAAAACTCTACTTTACAATTGATGAAATTTTCAAAAAACGCAATCTTTTTTAAAGTCAGCTGAAAAATCGTGTATTCCACAACACAAAATCAAGAACATCAATGAAAAAAAATAAAAAATTAAAACATCCAACCAAACAGGAGGAAAAAAAAAAAAGAGAGAAAATTAATAATTTGGCCAGATAAGGTTTTTCTTGGCTTGGTAAAAAATGGAGTAAATGCAGATTAACGAGTACGATGGTCACACTCAAGGCGTGGGTTGTTGAGAAAGAGAAGAAAAACAAAACACGAGCATAGAAAAATCTTGGCTTTCTCTGTGTTGTTGTTTGAAGTATAATTTGAGGAACAGCAAAAGGAAAAATATGAAGTGAGAGTACAACTGTACAACTGTGCAAGTGAACAAAAACCTGACTGAGACTTGAAAAAGCAGGACTCGGACTGGACTGTTTGTTTTTCGTGCTTTGTATTTTATGCATTTCCTTTTTATGGATTTTTTATTATTTTTTTCTGGTTTTTATGCTCCACTATAAAAGGAAGGAGTTTTCATGCTAAATTCTTGCTGGTTCAATAAATTTAAAATCTTGAATTAGTTGTTCATTAATACGAAGTGTACATTTGCAAACAAGTTTGGCTAGGAACAATAAAATGAAAAATACACGTGCAATATTATTAAATTTAGTAGAAAAACGTTAGATCAATTGGTAATATATTTTTAAAATACACATATTCAAATATTTTTGAGTCCTGTTCTTATTTAGTCTTATACTTCTTTTTAAATTGGTAATTTCTTATCAAAAAGTAAAAGCACGAGTCTTTATTCTGGTATGGTCAATTAGTCGAATATTTTTTCAGGATGTTTGGTACCTACTGTATGTTAATGAAATAATAAATTATAAATGAACCTGAATTATTTATTTATAGGCTAAAATAACTAATCATAGGCTCATAGCAATGGCAACTAACATAAAATCTTTCAAGTAAAGTTAAATGAAAGAAATTATCAACTATATAAAATTGAAAAAGGAAAAGGAAAAAGTTGAAATTTGGGACTTCCAAGAACCATGCTTGGATTTGGAGAGGGGTTTTCGCTTTCTACTTTATTTTAATTGTTTAATGGATTTTTTAATTTTTTTTAATCTTCTTTTGCTTTCATCTAAAACGGCGCATTTTGGCGAGGGTTGGCTACATTACGGTGTCGTATTAATAGTGACTTTAGTCAAAAGACTCCAAAGCTGCTTTGGCAAAAAGCAATTTATTTTATCTTGTAGAGTTATTCAATTTTCCAACAGTTCTACTTTACTCTTTTCCTTTTTCAAAACTTATGGGCGGAATGAGAAATGTTATATGTACATAATATTGTATATAAGAGTGTATATAACACTTACATTGAGTGAGATCAACCAAAAATAAAAAATTAAGTGGATCTCACTCCATGTGAGTGTTATGTACACCTTATGTACCCGTAACATTTTTCGGGGAAGAATATGTGATGTGCATTTACAAAATTGTCCATCTTCATTTTTTTGGTAAAGGAAAGACTAAATAAGTTCTTTATTCTCAAACTATAATGTAGCTCGCCATTAGTTATTTTTTCTTGTAATCATCTATACGAATTACATATTTTTTCTTTTTGTTTCATTTAACTTTGAAATCGAATTAAAAGTGATTTGGGTACAAATAGCTTGTTTTTAAAGGTGTAATGGTAATTACAATCTTTGTTTGAATTCAAAATTGTCATAAGAGCTAATTATATAAAAAATTTCTATATAGCAAATTAGTTTGTACGGCTTATTAAGAAAAATATATAAGAAGCTGTAAAAGGTGTGATAGTTTAGAAATTAAAAAAATATTTAATGGAAATGCCCCATGTACTCAACTATTGTCATTAGACTCATCACTTGTCTCAAAGGTTTTAATATGGTGGTGTAACTGGTGTCGTGTTGCTTTTATTTAATTTATGTTTTTGCTTGTTCTTAATTGGTTTTTGGCGTTGGGAATAAATTTTACACATTTTGTGTATAATAAACTCGGGAGCAAGTAAATTGTGAATAGGCTGGGGTTTAAATACAAAAAATGCAAAAATATACTACTCTAAAATATATCATACTAGAAATTTCATATTTTTTTCCCAAATTTGTATATTTCTCCTAAAAATATCATAATCTGAATAATAACATCAAAATTTTATATTATTACTAAAAATATCATAATAATCTAAAAAAGTCTCATAAAAGAATTTGTGATACAATACCTTAGTTAACTAACGCTAGTAATCCCATTCCTAATAAATTCATAACCAGATAATATAGTTTTGAGGTAATTATTGACATCATTAGGAAAAGCAAGTTTGAGGAAAATAACAAATGGAGAATGCAAACATAGTATACAGCACACCAAATATAAAATTTACTGTTTTCCCCCGAAAAAATCGAAAAAAAGAGAACACACTTGTACAAAATCCACTATACAAAAAATGTGACAATAACACTAAATAACCCAAACCCCAAAAGCATGCCCTTGAGATCATCGTACCTATTACGATGATACTCGATCAAGACACTCAACTGTCTTATGGCCTCTCTTTTTTCCTCACTCAAATTCAAGAACTCTGTTTCCTTCTCCTTCATCTTCTTTACCAACTCTCCCATTTGTATCTCCTTGTCAGCCATCGTTTTCTCGAGCTCACCGACTTTCTCCTCCCGTAATCTCACGGTCTGCGCCAAATTTCTCTTCTCTTCAGCATTATTTTGCAGCTTGATCTTTAGCTCACAAGTCTTAGCTTCCAATGCCGATCCCTTAACCTTTTCCTCGTTCAATGCTCGACCCAAACCGAAAATTTCCTTCTTGATGAAGCTTGTGGCGGCCTTAAGCTCGTTTCCAATTTCATAAACCCGTGACTCCAAGTGACCGTAATCCTCCTCGAATTTCACGTGGAAGGCGTCAAAGGCAGTGAACATGTCGTTTACCTTTTCAGAAATTTCTGACGCGATCCTCGTGTGAGCTTCTTTGTAAACAGTGATTATGGTGGAGAGCAAGAGAGCTTTGTCTTCTAAAGATTTATGTTCTTCCAGAAGCTTCTCTTCCTTTCTCAGGTAGCTCTCGTCTTTTTCACTTAGTAGTTGTTCGGTAATCCGGAGCTTCTGGCTCGTCAGCCGCTGCTTGACCTCTGTGTTTCGCACGTTTTCCAACATCGTGTTGATTTCGTCGTCTTTCATCTCGAGGTCCCTCTTCAGGTCCTCGATTTTTTCTTCCAGTTGATGAAGCTCCTGATCTTTTGTTTCGGTTACTTTCTCGAGCTGTTGGGTCAGTTCTTCTATCTTTTGCTCTGATGATTCGAGACTTTCCTGGCATTCTTGGAGCTTAGCTTCGAGTTTTTTGTGCTCCTCGAGCAATGTGAAAAGTTCGTCTTCCTTCTCTTTCAGCTTTCTTTCGTGCTCGGTGATTTTGTTCGCTAGTTCGGTGTTACTGTTCTCAGCCAGGGCCAAGCTTTCTGTGGACTCTTGCTTGGTTCTCTCGATTTGTGCCTCCAGTTGGGTTTTTTCGGACTGTAATGATTCCAGTTGGGTTTTCAAAGAAGCTATTTCAGCAGATGCTTCATTCTTCACGTTCTCCATTTTTTTCCCGACTGCAATGACCTCATCATCTCTCTCAGTTATAGATTTTTCTAAGGCAGCAACTTTGCTCTCTAGACCAGTTTTCTCCTCCATTAACTGATTTTCAAGATCATCTTTTTGCTGACGAAGGGTCTCCAGCTGCAGTTGCAATTCCTTTAGCTGAACCGTCACATTTTCCTTCTCTTGCAGCAACTTTTCTCCATCTGCTGACTTTTCGGATAGTTCCCCTTTTAGCTTCTCAATCTGTATCAGGAATTCAGATATTTCTACACTCTTCTTCTCTAGAACAATATCAACTTCACTTTTCTGAGCTACCAAAGAACCTAATTTCTCTTGAAGACTGTTGATCTCTGCAGTTAATGCAGCGATCCGGGCAAATGATTCATTTTCTCCATCTTCGGACATTTTCTGTAAAAGGGAAAGCTCGCTTTCTTTTTCGGCCAATAACCTCTCCATCTCAGAACTTTTTTCTTGCAGCTTGGCATTTTCTTCTCGCAAATGACTAAGGTCCTCATCTTTGCTCCTAAACTGCTCTTCCAGTTCATGTTTCTGATTGATCAGGGAGTTGTGGTCCGTAGTAAGGTCCTGCAGTTTCAAAGCAAGATTCTCTTTCTCTTCAATTGTTTTCTGTTGCTCGGTGGACATTTTCTCGAGCTCTCTTTTTAAAGCTTTCGACTGAGCTAGAAATTCTGTAATTTCTTGGCCTTTTGCTTTAAGCTGTTCCTCCAATTCCAGTTTTTCATTGTCTGTTGAGTGGAGCTTTTGTTCCAGATCCATCACTCGTGACAAAAGAGTATTCTTTTCTTCTAGATTTTGGTCTAGCTCTGAACTTCTGTTTGTCAGCTCTTCTTTCAGAGTCTCTATCTGGATCATGAGTTCAGAGACTTCTTTGACTTTTTCTTCCATTAGCTTTTCGGTTTCGGTTTTTTGACTGACCAGCGACTCCAGTTCGGTCTGCTTTGCATTGACTTGATCAGTCAAGTTCTTGATTTGATCGGAGGCTTCACTGCCTTTAAGCACCATTTGTTCTTCGAGGTCAATTTTCTGGGTCCTCAACGAATCAGCCTCTTGTTGAAGGCTGTTTATTTGAGCTTTCAGATCATTGATTTGGTTTAACGAGTCAGTCTCATGAGCCTCGAGTTTTTGGAGAAGAGCAGATAGCTCGTCGTTTTTCTGTTTCTCAAGATCTATTCTTTGAGCGTGAGACGAGTCGAGTTCCAATTCCAAATCCCTCGCACGAGTTGATGCCTGTTCTTTGTGAGCCTCATGGATCTCAAGGTGACTTGAAAGCTCATTTTCTTTTGCAGACAATTTTTCACTCAGCTGGCTTGACTGGGAAACAAAATCTTGAATCTTGTTTTCAGCCTGTTTTATGCCATCCTCGAGCTGTGAGATTTTTATGCAGAGACTTGAGTTCTCCTCTTCCATTTCATATTTCTGTCTGGTTAGAGAGTCGAGGTCCTTAGTAAGGTCCTGCACTTTCAAAGCAAGACTCTCCTTCTCTTCAAGTGTTTTCTGTTGCTCTGTGGACATTTTCTCAAGCTCTCCTTTTAAAGCTTCTGACCGAGTTAGAAATTCTGAAATTTCTTGGCCTTTCGCTTTAAGCTGTTCCTCCATTTCCTGTTTTTCATTGCCTGTAGAGTGGAGCCTTTGTTCCAGATCCATCACTTGCAACAAGAGAGTCTGCTTTTCTTCTACGTTCTGGTCTAGCACCGAACTTTTGTTTACCAGCTCTTCTTTCAGAGTCTCTATCTGGATCACAAGTTCAGAGACTTCTTTGACTTTTTCCTCCATTAGTTTCTCAATTTCAGGTTTTTGGCTGACCAGCGACTCTAGTTCAGTCTGCTTTGCATTGACCTGATCAGTCAAGTTCTTGATCTGATCTGTGGCTTCACTGCTTTTATGCACTATTTGTTCTTCGAGATCAATTTTCTGAGTCCTCAAGGAATCAGCCTCTTGTTGAAGGCTGCTTATTTGAGCTTTTAGATCATTTATTTGGTTTAAGGAGTCAATCTCATGAGCCTTGAGTTTTTGGAGAAGAGCAGATAGCTCATCGTTTTTCTGTTTTTCAAGATCTCGTCTTCGAGCGTGAGACGAGTCGAGTTCCAATTCTAAATCACTCGCACGAGTTGATGCCTGTTCTTTGTGAGCCTCGTGAATCTCGAGGTGGATTAAAAGCTCTCTTTCTTTTGCAGACAATTTTTCACTCAGCTGGCTCGATTGGGAAACAAAATCTTGAATCTTGTTTTCAACCTGTTTTATGTCATCCTCGAGCTGTGAGATTTTTATGCAGAGACTTGAGTTCTCCTCTTCCATTTCATGTTTCTGTCTGGTTAGGGAGTCGAGGTCCATGGTAAGGTCCTGCAGTTTCAAGGCAAGATTCTTTTTCTCTTCAAGTGTTCTCTGTTTCTCTGTGGACATTTTCTCAAGCTCTCCTTTTAAAGCTTCTGACCGAGTTAAAAATTCTGAAATTTCTTTGCCTTTCGCTTTAAGCTGTTCCTCCAATTCCAGTTTTTCATTGCCTGTAGAGTGGAGCTTTTGTTCCAGATCCATCACTTGCAACAAAAGAGTCTGCTTTTCTTCTACGTTTCGGTCTAGCACCGAACTTTTGTTTGCCAGCTCTTCTTTCAGAGTCTCTATCTGGATCTCAAGTTCAGAGACTTCTTTGACTTTTTCCTGCATTAGTTTCTCGATTTCAGTTTTTTGGCTGACCACCGACTCTAGTTCAATCTGCTTTGCATTGACCTGATTGATCAAGTTCTTGATCTGATCCGAGGCTTCACTGCTTTTATGCACTATTTGTTCTTCGAGGTCACTTTTCTGGGCCCTCAAGGAATCAGCCTCTTGTTGAAGGCTGCTTATTTGGGCTTTTAGATCATTTATTTTGTTTAACGAGTCAGTTTCATGGGCCTCGAGTTTTTGGAGAAGAGCAGAAAGCTCATCGTTTTTCTGTTTTTCAAAATCTCTTGTTTGAGCGTGAGATGAGTCGAGTTCCAATTCCAAATCCCTCATACGAGTTGATGCCTGTTCTTTGTGAGCCTCGTAAATCTCGAGGTGGCTCGAAAGCTCTCTTTCTTTTGCAGACAATCTTTCACTCAGCTGGCTCGATTGGGAAACAAATTCTTGAATCTTGTTCTCAGCCTGTTTTATGTCATCCTCAAGCTGTGAGATTTTTATACGGAGACTTGAGTTCTCCTCTTGGGCAACCTTTTGCTTCTGAGTTAACTCAGTGATTTTATTTTCTGCTAATCCCAGTTCCTCTGCTGCTTTCTTTTTGTCAGCTTCATGCCTTACTAGGTGAGCAGACAGTTCTGTTTCTTTCTCAGCCAAATTTTCCCTTAACTGTCTTGACTCATCAACAAGATTTTGAATCTTGCTTTCAAATTGTTTTATCTCATCCTCTAGCTGTGAAATTTTTAAGAACATATTGGTGTTCTCCTCCTGGGAAGCCTTGTGAATCTCACTTAGCTTGGAAATTTCCTTTTCTGCTAATTCCAATTTCTCCCTCGTTTCCTCTTTGTAAGCCTCGTGACTCTCCAGGTGACTAGACAACTCTTTTTGCTTCTCTCCCAAGTTGGCTGTCAACTGGCTCGTCTCATTTACGAGATCTTGAATCTTGCCTTCGGCTTGTTTGATCTCATTCTCGAGTTGTGAAATCTTTAAAGAAAGAGTAGTGTTTTCCTTTTCAGCTAATTCCAGTTTCGCATTGGTTTCTTCCCTGTAAGCCTCGTGACTCGACAGCTCTCTTTCTTTCTGGCCCAGTTTCTCACTTAATTGGCTCGACTCGTTTACAAGATCTTGAATCTTGCTTTCAGCCTGATTAACCTGTTCTTCAAGATGTGAAATCTTTAGCAAAAGACTACCTTTCTCCTCATCTGCAGCCTTCTGCATTTGACTCAGCTTAGCAACTTCATCGTCTGCCAATATCAGTTTCTCCCTTAAATTAGAAAATTCCCCCTTCACTGCTTCCAATTCTAGCTTTATAGCGTCTTTCTCGTCTTGCAACTGGCCATTAACAGCTCTCAAATTTTCTGCATTTGTCTTCTCCTCCTCGATTTTCCAAGCATCAGCCTCTCTCTCTAGAATAACTTCCTCCAGCTTCTTGCTCGCCTCACCTTGCGATTTACCCAAACTCTCATTTTCAGCCAATAATCTGGAATTCTCGTTTTTGAATCTTTCAGCTTCACTATTCAACTCCGATATTATCTTCTCCATGTCCTCAATTTTGCTCGAGGACCTTTCACACTCCCTAACTAGCGTTTCCTTTTCTTCTGAAGTGATTATCAGCTTTCTCCTCAGGTCAGCCAGCTCAGCAAGTGCCAGCTCGAGTTCATGCTTGACACCAGCTGCATCGTTTTCACGATCGTTCTCCACTTTCCCGTTCTTTTTCTCCTTTTTCTTTGGAGAATCCTCTGAGTCCGAGGAATCTGAGCTGGATGAGGAGCTGTCGTCCCCTTTTTTATCAGTTGCTTTTTTTCGCAGCTCGTCTGTCAGGTGATCATAACGTGCATAAAGAGACTGATACTGATTGTGAAAATCGGTAATCAGATCAATTAGTGGCTCTTTTTGTTCGTTATCGCCTTCTTTGAGCGCTGTTAAGATCTGCTGCACTTTACCTTCTATTTCTGCCAATTAATAGTACGAAAAATGAAAATGTCAACACTCTAAGATGACAAAATCTGTGGCTCAACAGTTTGAATCAGAATCAGACAGCATAAAAAGATAGCCTCAGAAAACATCCACAAGCTGTAGTCTAATTACCAGATAAGCATCTCCTTGAGATTTGTATTAAATTTAAAACACCTCCCTCGAAAGTAGGCAAACTTTAGTGGGGCACTTGTAATTCTTTCTTTAACATGAAGGGCCATTGTAGACTCTGTATTTTTTCTGGAATTAGGCTAAACAGAGGACCCTAAGAAAAGCCACGAGCCGCATAGTTTAAAATCAACCCAAAAGTTTTACCTGCTCTAGTTCCTTTGAGCTCCTCGTCTTTTTCTAGGTCGACATGACTCCCGAAGAACGATTTGAATGATCCACGCCAATGATGCTTAGGCATGACTCTCCTTTTGTTCCTCTGCAGTTTACCTGAGGTTAAATATCACAAGAAGTCGAGTCTTCATATTTATGAAAGAGTGAACCCAAATTCTGTATTACCAAGCTGCTTAGCTGTTAAGCATGAACATGGTCAAGCATATATATAATGCAAATAGATGAAGATTATAAAAAAGGCTGTTTCGAAACTTTTTAGGCTATAATAATTCGTTACACTGAATTGCCGGCAAGGCGAATTTTTAGGCCATGAAATACTTACTACGAACGCAGAATGTACCACTTACTAGCACAGCCACGGACATGGTGAAAAACATGCATTGAGATGAACTGAAATAAGATTTCATGTAACAACTTCCCTGTGTACTAATTTGTGAAGAGAAATAGCAGGGATCTATCTGAAGTTTTTTTTGTGTGTGTGTGGGCTCAAAGTTAACTATGTTTCGCTTTATTTATTCACTGCTGCTCGAGTTTCAGAGCTAGTATAGATGAAAATAAATGTGCTTATAAGAATGTAAATAACAGAACTTGAGCATGCTGCATTGAGATTAAGCCTAACTAGCAATTCACCAACAGGTAGCTTAATTGCAATTTTTTGTTTTGTGCAGTTTAGTCCCATAAAATTTTGTCTTTGTTCAATTTGTTCTAGAAGTTGTAATTTATGGAATTTCAGTCTTTGGGACCAAATAAATACTTGGTTATATCATGTTACAGCCTTACAGGGTTACAACTAACAACCGCTGAATACTTACAAAATTGCAGTTAAACCCTTACAGACATCTCCAATATCAGCCGGCCAAAGATTGTTTTGTGATTAAAGCTACTGAATGCTATATTGCACAAGTCCTTCAGCTACCAATTGAAAGAGAGAGAGCTCATAATTTTGGACCTTACCAGCACCACATATCAATTGTCCCCACAATTATCAGCTCTACAAAACATGTGATGCGAGATGATACAAGTATCATCCCAATCCATCTAAGGGGTCTTATTCATACCATTTTCTCTAGTTTTCGTTGAATTTCACTTGCTCAACGAGGTTTTAATCGTGCCATCAACACACATCTGCACGAATATGTATAAACGTATTTGACTCGGTTGGTTAAAACTATCCACGAGTAGGGTTGAATTTCCCTTTAGCCAGAAGCCAAGCACTCAAGTGGGAAAAAATGTTTATCACAAATCTATATCTATATATATATAATAAGAATTACCATTTAAAAAATAATAGCCAAAAATTTAGGAAACATTTAATGCATGCCATTTTTTGAAACTTTTTAAATATATACATTAATTGCTTACATATACACATTTTCAAATAAGATCAAATAAGATATGATCAAAAAATTAAATAAATTTATTAATATCTGCAATATTTTCATTGATATTTATTATAATAAATTACAATATTGATTTCCATGATCCATGTTGATAATTTTTTGGTCAAGATAAATATTATTTTGTTAATATTTGTAATACTTTCATTGATATTGATTATAATAAATTACAAGATTGATTTCCATGATCCATGTTGATAATATTTTGGTCAAGATAAATATTACACCATATTTTAAGTTCTAACCATAATATAATTTTTCTTTTTTCACAAATATTCACTTTATATACAAAAATATTTATGGAAAATCGTACATATTAGGTAGAATTGTTTTTCCAAGTAATCTGACAAATCAAGTTGGTGAATTAATCTTTGCCAATATATTTTTTTCTTACGCTTTATTTTGTTAAATATAAAAAATAAATTGTTCTTCAAATTAATATAATTTACCATTTAAGAGATAATGACCATATACATTAAATAGTTTTACTAATGGTAAAAAATTAAAATTGAAATATATTAAATATTTTTTAGAATTTATTTGTATATTATTGGCACCCATTTTTTTATTTTGATTTATTTCTATAATTAAATTCTTGTAAAATAAATTTTCATTGCAGAGTATGTTAAATAAACTATAAATCCTTATAATGCGAATTAGAAAAATCTTGATCATAGAAGAGATTGAGTTTTTGAAATTTTTTAAATCAAATTTGTTTAATTAGTATACAAAATTAAATTCTAAAAAAACATGTGTATATTTTGTAAAATATTTACACACTATTTAATTTTAAATTTATTTACATATTTTAAATTGATTACATAAATAAATAATACTAATGTGCATTAAATATTTTCATTACATAAATAAAAAGAAAAAGAAGACGTACAACTTCCATAACTTTATAAATAATAATGACATTATATGACAACAAAGTTTATACTAAAATAATAATTAAGTATTATATGGTGAACAAGAATAAGTAAAATTGTTATTCTCTCTTGTATCAAGGAATAAATATATATATACTAAAAACAAATTTATATTAGTATAAATGTATTGGTGAGATAATATATTAATTATTTTGCTACACTTAACGCTCATTAAGAGAGGTGGGAAATATATGATAACCCTATTGCTTTATATATTTAAACGGACAAAGACTGTAAAAATAGCTCATTTAATATGGATGTCCCGTGCATCGCACAGGGTACGTACTAGTATTATATTATACACTAGAGCTTGACTGCAAAAGGTCTCCAAATGGAATTTCCCCAGGTAAATAATTTCGATTTTTTATTTGAGTTCAATATTTGTGATTCATATTCGTAAAAGATCGAATTCGAACTAGAATAAAGATAGTTTTTAGTATTTGAAATTTGTACGAGCCAGAAAAATATATTTAGAAAATAGATTTTTATTTTTATATAAATGACATGAAATATATTTATATATATATAAATAGTAAATAAATTTTAAAAATTAAATTTGTATATAATTATATTTAAAATATATAATATATTCAAAAACATAAATATATTCCTATATTAATATATTTATAACTAATATATATTAATTTATGTATATACAAATACATTAAGTATTTATGAATAATTTCTGAAACGAATTTTATATCGAATCAAAATCACAAATAATGAAATACGAATACTAATACAAAGAGAAATAGTCAAATATTTTTACCAATTCAAATAAAAATAGTTCTGTAAGGCAGTTTATGGAACTTCATTTTTAATGCAATCATGCTTGAAAAGGCTAGGCTTATGTCAGACATCATCTTCTATTACTAGTGTCACATTTTCATTTTAACATTTTGAAGTAATTAAATTATTTGGATTCAAATATTTACATAGGTATAAAAGTTGTATAAAAGTATGAGCAGTAATTATTAAGATTATTATTACATAACAGCTACATATTTCACGACTTTAAAAAAGCCAATGAAATATTTCATCCGGTTTTATGGTCATGCAAATATAATAAGACATGATAAATTCCGTTTCATTTCTAAACTTATTATTAGAGAAGGACAAAAAATGGTAAAAATATATATTCTTTTATTGACACCAGACCACATGATTGAATGTGCTACGTGGCTGGCCCACCTGTTTTTGGTCCCACCATGAACAACAATCAAGATGCATTTGACTATTTTGTAACAAAGGATGGCTCTATAGCATTTCCGTTTGTAACACACCCATTATATAAGTTGTTTTTCTGTTTTGTATAGTTTAATTTTGCTTTTTCAGGTAAACTATTTTTCTAAACAATAAACTTTCATAAATAAATACATAATTACAAACTAAAAATAAGCTAAATAGCTAAATACTCAGTTACCTGACTGATTCTAATTGAGAAGACTACACTAATAGTAACCTATAACTAACAGCAAAAACTCTCAAAAGGTAAACTATCTCGTTATATGTTCTGTGATTGTAAATAATTAAATATATGCAAGATTTTTTATCATTATGTGCAGTTATATGTATAATCATTAATTAATATTTATTATTTTTATGTAACATTAGTTGTCATATTTTTATCTTATATCTACTGAGTATTCATCTCAATTTCAATTTTTTTATTTTGTCTATATATAATTGCCAGTAACAAATTAAATAAAACTCTTTAAGTTTCCCTCTATTTTTCGTTACTTTTACATTAATTAAGTATTTATATTTTTTATTTAGTTATTATATAACAACTACTATTAACAAATCATAAAGTCGCATTAAGTAATATTCTAATTTAAAGTATTTTTTCAAACTATTTTTTTAATTTTTTTAACTCATTAAGCAAATTTTTTACTAACATTAATTAATTATTTTTTATGATATAACCAAATATTTTAAAATTTGGTACATAACTGTTGTAATAATAATTTCAATATTGTTTTATCTAATCAATTGTTCATAATCATAACAGATTGCAAAAATTATATTATTGCAATAGATGTAATGTAAGTTAATAGTTTATAATTATATTGTTTATTTTTACTACTGATAAAATTTATAAAATTTGATATGCTCATTATCTAGCTTATAGCATATAAAAATTTATTTACATATGTGCATGTGTAGAGAATCGAATAGCAAAACACAATCAAATCAATAATCCACGCTTAGACATTAATCACAACCAATAATTACTTATTACTCGTATATAAAACCAACTTGTATCATTGACTCTTAACTCTTTCATTTATGGCCAAACTAAATTCTAAAACAGGAAAATTTTTGAAACCTAGATATGCCAGCTAGATTCATCAGTAGCAGAGTCCAAAAGGGCCAGCTAATTTTATGCTTTTAGTTTCTCATTCAAAAAGGGAAAAAATACTTGTTTATTTTACTTCAGATAATCACATAAAAATACAATAAACTTCATAAAATATAATTTTTTAAAAGGAGATGTCGCAAAATAAGAATATAAATGAAAGTAATATTATGGGAAGTAAACAGAGCGCTGATTCTCAATTAAACATATAAATTGGAGGAAAAAAAAAACGAATAATCCTACTCGATTCCCTTCCATCTTCACAAAAACTTAATCCATTTTAATGGGTAAAAGAAATCTTCATCAGTAGGATTTTGATTATTTTTTATTTTTTATCAAATTTTGACAACATACACAAACTCAAACTCAGACCAATTTCATATCATCATGTATCGCATCACACTAGAAGCATGAAAAATCGATCCAGAAAAAAAATTGAAAAAACTAATTAAAAAGGGATTTAAGAACAGAGACTACAGCTACTTTCAGCTCCAAGCAAATTCAAACACCAAACAGTAATCGATTGAGAATAAATTCATCTGATCAACCAGCAAAAAAATCGAACCAGAGCACAAATCAACAAATTCCAACCAACCAACCAAACAAACAGAGCTGATCTCAATCAAGCTACCATGAAATCCACCTCCGACCAACAAGCCATCACCCAGAAAAATCAGAAAAGACAAAAAAATGAAAAGAAAATAGCTGTTACCTCAACAATCGGAGCTCCCCACGCAGCTGTTCGAGCTGACACCAAAATCCGCTAGAGAGAAATTCGATAGGAGAGAAGATGTGTGTGTTTGTGTGTGTCTGTATGTGTATCTGAATCTAATGGTGTTCAATTTGTGATTGAAATTCTAATGGCTGCCAAAATCAGAAGAAAATTCGAAAAAGAACGAAAAAAAAAATTGAAAAGGAAAACTGAAGAAGAAAAAGTGGGCTTGTTTTGTCTGTTATGGCTATTTTATGTAACAGCGACTCGAACAGCAATTTGCGATTGGCGCTTCAATTTTCATCTGGTGGAGCCGTGGAGCCTATGATGGAATCTATTTGCCCTTCATTTTATGATAATTTACGAGAATGCCATTATGCAGTTTAAATGTGTGGGAAAATCTGTCAAAATAATTGCGTTATTATTTGTCAGTACGTAACCACTAGCAAGCAAAAAGTGGGTCTTTTTGTGCGCATATGCACGTGCCAGATCAGCAGATAGGATGCTGCATTAAGAAAAAAAAAAAAGAATATTAGCACGTTATCTATATATATATAATTACTAGCTAATAGAATTTAATAAAATCTATTTAATTTTATTTATGTGGCAATTTAACAATTTTTCCTCCAAAAATCGTTACATTTTGATGTATTTAATTTTTCATTTAATCATTAAATAATTAATACTCATCACTTCAAAATTACAAAAATCATTTTAAACTTTTGATTAATGACAGTTGACCATATAATGTGTTGACTGTATAATGTGATTAGATGTTATTATTGTTGTTACATTTAATTTTTTTTTTGAAAATAAAAAATATATTTGAAAATTCCTAAATAAATAATAAATAATTCACAAATAAAAGACGTGCCAAAATATACATTACATCCAATCAGATAAACGAAATTTAAAAAAAAATATTCGAACTCTTTTAATTGTAAATTTAGTCTGCAAAAAAGTGAAAGAAAAATAATTAATCATTATATGTACAGACTCACAATAATTTATTTATATCTGTGCAAATGCACAGGTCGAATACTAGTTAGTTTCTTAACCCCGGGGATTGGATATAAATAATTTTATTTATATTTAAAGTTAATTGATTTTGAATAAAGTTGATTGAGTTGATAATTAAGTTATACTATTACAATATTCGTATATTACAGGGGTGTTGAATTAGAAAGCTTTTGTAAATTTTTTTATTTTTTTAAATTAAAATAATTTAATTTTATATAAAACATTACTTTGGGCTTTAATTAAATTTTTAAATTATATTTTTTATTTATAATAATTAAACACCCGTACATTAAATGAAAATGTCAACCCAGTTGAATTTTTTTACTTATATCATATAAAAATATCGATATTATTTACTATTACATAAGTACAAAAATATATATCTTAAATAAATAGAAATAATATGGTGATATGTATATGCATAAGTGTAGAATACGTTTATTTAATATTAAACAAAATAGATTATTTTTTTTACTTAATTAGATGTCTAATACATCAAGTGTCGTATCAATCGTGTTTCACAGTTTTTTAACTTTATATGTAATTTTAGAATTTATATAAATAATTATTTATTTTTATTACATTGACAACATACCAATTATATTTGAAATAAATATCATTTTTAAAAGAATACATACAAATTTAAGATTTTTTTTGTCTTGACAATATTAACTCTATTTAATGGATGTTATGGAAAATGATGGAGATGAGATATGAAGAGATACTGTGTATTAGATTGAAGGTTAAAAATAGAAAAATGTGAACAAAATATCTAAAACGACATTTATTTTATCAATGATAAATTAAGCCAAAGTGACAAATAATAAAAATAGAAGGGAATATATATTATTATATATTTTAGTATGACACATGTTACTTGTGCGACTTATATATGTTATATAACTTATATTAAAATAAATTTTCTACCTTATAACATGTAACTACATTAAACATAAATATATTAATTGATAATAATTTTATTTTATAATTAATTTTAATAAATACTTTTTTTTATTATTATAAAGATAAATATAATTTATTTATTTTATATATACAATATGGATGTCAAATCGAAGCTCATCAAAAGATTATGGATTTGATATATTATATATGTAAAAGAGATAAAAAATAAAAAAGTTATCAACTTTTAAAATATATTTTCAATTCAATGGTTATAATAGGAAACGATATTAAAATACAATTGCTATAAATATTAATTTATATCCAAGTCTAATTCCAAAACATGATTTTTTGTCAAATAGGATTCCGAAGCATGAGAGTTTGCCACGTAGCCTCAGTGCATTCTGAAATTATATATAGAGGGGATTTTTAATTTAATGATTAGAGTTGATGTTATAGTAAGATAGAGATTATTGAAAATGATAAGTAGTTAAAAATATATAGGTAGATGCATAATGAATTAAATGTGATATTATGTGTGAGAAACGTTGATTTATATTATTTAATTATACTGATAATAGATTTGAGTTGGATTTTAAATCCATCAATGCAGAAAAAATATGCGTTCAATCAGAATCAGTTATAATTGGTAGCCAATTAGTGTTGTGGACAGTAGTTAGAGCTAAATGAGCTGCTCTAATTGAGGCTCGAGTTCGGCTTACTCGTTTAAAGTATGTTTCGAGTTTGATGTAGCTCGTTTATTTAATGAATCAAGCTTGGTTTGGCTCAATGAGGCTCAAAAATATTTTTTTTTTAATAATTTTTTAAGTTTATCTCATTAAAACTCGAGTTCGGCTCATTAGTATTGATAAACAAGTCGAGTTTGATTATTGGCTTTTTAGAATAACGAGTCGAGCGCTCAGCTCTGCTCGTTTACACACCTATTAGGAGCATAAATGGGGATGGTAATTCGGCCCGAACCCATACTGGCCCACCTCGCCCCGAGGCCTTTAGGGCGGACCTCACTCGTCCTGTTTTCAAAATAAGCCAGGCCGGCCTGACCCGTTTTGTAAACGGGGCATGTTCAGGTAATTGAATTCGACATGCCCAGACCCGACCTGTAAGTGTATCTATAGTGCCAAACATATATTAGATATGTGAAAAAGGTGTGGTTTGGTCAGCCCATTAGCACAATTTTGTTTAAGCCCGAATTGTTGGGCATATATATTAGGTGTTAGAATTGCCAACATATTTATGTCGAAGCCCATATTGATTTATTTCCATCGTTTGATGTGTTTGCACGTGTAAAATAACAAAGTTTTGGTTGTTTATTTTTTTCTTATTTATTGTTTTTTATTATTTACTGGTTCCACTTAAGAAAAAATCATGGGATCGAGATCGCAGGGCGGGCCGATCCGCCTCGAAGCGAGGCAAGTCACGAGTCCCCTCTGTTGGACCGGTTGCAGGTCAGTTGGGGTGGAAGTTCAGGTCTGGAACTGTTTGGCCCTACCTGACATAGTGTCATTCCTAGGCATTAAAAAAATTAGTCAACTTGAGTTTGAGCTCGAGCTCAAGCTTTTAACTAGTCGACCTGAGTTAGACTTGTTAACTAAATGAGTCGATAATCGGCTCGATTTATTTATCAATATAACGAGCCAAACTCGAGTCTTACTGAATTGAACTCGACCATTAACAAGTCTAACTAAATTTATAAATAAAAAATTCTTATATTCGAGTCTTAACAAACTGAGTTGAGCCTGAATCATTAACTAAACGAGCTTGAGTTTGACTGTTTTATCAAACAAGTTGGACTGAACTTTTAGCCTTAACGAGACGAGCTCACAAACGACTCGTTTCATTTAACTTACTCTAATTGTGGGGTAACTATTGTTATTTTTTTTATGAATTAATGGATATATAAATAAATAAATAATTACATAATAGTAAACTACTCCACAATATTAAAAAATATAAAACATTATAATCAAACTCAAACCTAAACATAAGGGGTGGTTTGGATATAGTGAAACTATAACACACGTACACTCATTTTTTAAGACTTATGCATAAGTGCAATCATTGAAAATTAAACCATATAAAAAAATACAACTGAGAAACAAATGATATAAATAAAATATAAATAACTATTCATAAAACAATAAAATTAATGTATTTATAATTACAAAATATCATAAGTGTACAAATATAAAGGATTTTTAGATGTATCATGNCGCCTTCATGAGCTGATAAAAGTTATTTTCCCGCAGTGTCTGTCTTTCCAAACACATCGTTAAGGATTGATTATTCCTTGAACTATTTCCCCCCAAAACCCCACCGCGAACCAGAGGGTTACTCCGAGATCATACCCTCGCGGGAGCACAAGTCCACGATGTCGGAATCCAACCGGGATCTCGGTTTTCTCACCAATAAGAAGACCGGAGCTGAAATTTCCCCGTCCGACAAGTGTCAAGAACAAAACCCCGGCCACCATCCAAATCACCGCCGACCAGATCCTCCGCGAGCGTCAGGAGGCCGAAGTCCGGCCGCCCAAGCAGAAAATCACCGACACCGCCGAGATTGGTAATACCTCCTCCGCAAGCGCAAGGAGTTACGAGGACCTAATCCAGCGGATGCTGTGGAACATGCGCGAGCGCCGGGCAGATTTTCAAGCGGTTGTTGGGGTGGATTCCCTGTCAGAAGAGCTGGCTTTCGTACATAAATTTCGAGCTGAGGTACAACGAGGTCGAAAAGGCACTAGCTATTGAAAAATGGAGATATTGGGCGTTCTAGGAACTGTTGAAAAATAAGGTAACTGGTCGGTGTTTTGGATTCAACTGTTAATCATTAAGGTGATCTTTTGTGTTGTGTTGTCATATATAATGGCTGTCTTCTTATAACAGGGAAATGTACTCGCATGGTTAGTTGCTGTAATGATTGAGTAAATGTATTATAACTATTTTCATAGATTGATTTTCAATATATAGAATATAGTGTAGCAAATTCATATGCTTGAGAGTCCTGGCTGGGCTTTGATCGGGTTGGCTGATCTGAATAAAGTTATTCTTGAATTTTTATAATGCCAGGCTCATCATGGCCAACAACTTGGATGCATTTAAAATGAGAGAAAATGAAGACGGAAATAATCCTTTATTTTGTTCAATTCTACATGGTTCAAATAGTCTTTTTCCTTTTGATTTGGGGTTGAATGCAGAATCGTTCTGAATACGAATATGTACTAACGAGTGGCTTGGTGAATGACTCAATGCCAATTGTCTGATCTTCATTCTGACTATTCTATGGTTGGCATTCGTCGAGCTTTTGACCATTTTGTTTCCATTTTCTAATCCTACTTAATTGTGTTAAACATGACTGTTTTCCAAATGAGACATTATTCTGACTAAGCTAAATTGAATCACCTCAAAACTCAAACAGTTTGTGTCTGAAGATGATACCTCCTGGGGAAATTTTCATTTGCAAAGATATGGCTGATGGCGGCTCAGTTTGAATTACGCCAGTTAAATATTGATCGCGACGGCAAATATTTAAAGAGTTGATTCTTAGCATTTCTTTCCTCGAACTTTTACTTTGCTAATTTTAACTTAGTTTTGATTAATTGTTCCAAACAGATTTTGAAGAAATACTTTGAGATTGAGTTGCAACTTGGTAACATAGAACGGTGCAGAAAATTTCATGAGAAGTGTTTAGAGTGGTCACTGGAGAATTGCTATGCATGGAGCATGTATGCTGAGCTGGAGAGATATCATTGGAAGAAACTGAAAGAGCCCGAGCTCTTTTTAAGCTTGCAATTGATCAACCTGCACTAGACATGCCATAGCTTCTGTTGAAGGTACTCATTTCTTGTGAACACTTTCGTTTGATTAGTAAGACTTGTTATCCATCCGGAGCAAAATTAGTATCGGTTGTGTGTAACATTATCAATTTTTAGTTCGATTGAAATATGAGGTAAATTTTGTTCCACTAATTGTAGTCTTTAATATACATGGTTCTGATTTCTGGTTGTCCTGTGTACTCACGTGCAAATTTCCCTGCATTATTATTTACTTAAGCCTGGATCTTCATGCTTTTTATTACAGGGGTGAAGCTTTTGCCCAGTAACTTCATTTGTGTATCCTAGTGTGGGATCTTTTCATTTTGGTACCTCTGTTGTTTTACTGTGAAATCAATAACCTAACTTTGTATCTTGCTCTAATTTAGTGCATACATTGGTTTTGAAATATCTGAAGCTAAATTTGATATAACCAGGGCACTTTATGAGAGGCTTTTGAACCGTACAAAACGTTTGAAGGTGTGTGGATCAGTTACATCAAATTTGAGGCATCTGCTATGGAAGAGGGACTTCAAGAATCTCCCTTTCCTTCTCAGTATGTGTTGAGAGTCATTTTGCCTGCTACATTTTCGTTCAAGCTGATTCGGATTAGATTATTAATGTCGAGCAGATCTGAAAATTTTGAGTAACAACACGCAGATATGAGGAGTATATCGATTTGTCTTTTCCCTAAAGAGACTCAGACTACAAATTTCAAAATATCGGAAGTTGCATACAAGGTAAGAAGCAGAAGATTGTTTCTTCTGACATTCTTTTTTGGTCTAAAAAATTTCCAGAAATTCTGATGATTTGTATGAGAACATTTCTCATATGTACTTTTGGATGCAAAACTACATTTGATCAATCGATTCATGTTTATTAGATGATAAATTAAGAATTAATTTATTTATAACTTGATTATTCAAAATTAAAAGATTGCGACTTTGGAGAATTACATTTAATTGATGATGTTTTTATAAAAGTGCTTCCAAGCAACGTTTATTAGGTTGCCTTTATGTTCCATAACACCATGTTTGTTTGGTGGGATAGGCCAGGATATCCTGGCTTATCTTTTACTTGTCCCATGTTTGTTTCACTGAATTTAGGCCTGGTATTATGCGGTCGGTCCGGGATGAAAAAGTTTTTTATCCCATGAAATAGGGATAAGGATAACTCCATCTAGGATGGTGGTTCGATCCTAGAAAGTAAAAATTTCTGATCTGCCCTCATTTTTTTCTTATTTTTGGACTATTTCGACCTTCCTAAATCCACTAATTACAACCTTTCCAATAATGATGGTGGTTTGCATTGAAGTATTTCAATTTTTCCTTTTTTTTTTAAAAAAAAAAAGTTATCCTACATCAATTCAACATAACAAACACAAAATAAAATTAATCCAAACAGTACATTCATACCACTTTGAATTATTTTTGTTCAATCTCATCCTACTGAGCAAACATTTGTTTTTGCAACATGAAGAGCTGGTCAAAACTCAATTCCGGGTTGGTTCAAGTTCGAAACAGTTGGTTTAGGTTCATATTTTATGTGAATCGAAACTGGCCCGTGTATATATACGTGCTGGTTCATTGAATCGGCAGTTCACGATTCGAAACCGATCTGTCGATTCTAAGTCGAATAAAAAATCAAAAAAAAAAAAAATTTAAAATACAATTTCGACGTTAAAAGAACCGGAATCGACAATTCAATATTTAAAAATAATTGAACTTGAACTTGAACCGACTGTAGTTTATCTGGGCCAGTTCAAAGCCCGTGGTTGACGATCCTGATCCCTGATGGGGACGGCTCCGCGCTGATTCTGCGGGCCACTGCCACCATAAAATCAAAGATATCATTTTTTGCCCATGTGGTCTGTTATCTCATCACCCAATAAATATATCCCTGACAACATATCTCGAAATGGAATTGTTTCAGTCCCTCTTTGATGTCCAATCTCATCACCAGTATTTGTTTGACATTGAACAATTGCTGAAAATAGTGACAATCGTCTGGTGGAAGCTTCCTCAAAATGTCATTTACTGCTACTAAAACTAGATGTAAAAGTAATTATGGAGAAATACATAAAAAAATATAACAGATGTATAGTCACATCAAAGTCCTCCTTGGCCACCTAGTTCTACTCTAGGTAATACCATTATTAGTGCCTACTAATGCAAAAGCAAAACCAATTACACCATTAAAACTGCAAACTTTATTTTAATTAATGAAACTCTTCACCTTTGTTGGTGATAATTAATTATGCAATTATTATGGGTACAAAATCACTTAGAGCATATTTAACCATAAACCTTCATAAAATCTCTTTTACACTTCCAACATGCCACATCTTCTAAAATATTATTTTTATTTATGCACTCATAAATCTCCAATAACAATAAACTTTGTAAATTTCTTTTTCATGGATCACACAGGTTTCCACTTACTTTAATATTAATATTATAGACTTATATTTTTTTTAATTTATAAAAACACATGTCTCTCTTTCCTACCTACAATTATTATTTTTTATTACTTTATTATTTTGTAGAGGTTTTGGAGAGGTTTGTACCATCAAACCTCACCAAAATTTATAAATCTCTATTGATTGCTCACTTACCTATCGTAAAAACATTAAAATGTGACTACAACAATGTGTTAAAATCGCATAATTATTACTCAATCATATACCATCGTGTATGCTATGTGACAAATTACTTGACAGACTTAGGAGCGATTGACTACAAATTAAATTAATTTTGATCAATTGAATATTTTTTTTTTACTTTGTAACTCAAAATTTAATTCAATTTTAATCTAACTCAACTTTGTTTAATATTATCAATATAATTAAATAACATCAATCAATCATCCTTATACATCACATTAAATTTAATTCACTATTTATCTACTCACATATTTTAAATTATTTATTATTTTTAATAATTTCTTGCATCGCACCAATTTCAATCATTACATTTTAAATATTATTTAAATACAAATTTAAAATCTCACTTAATCCTTTATCCAATCAATTTTATTTAAAGTTACCCCATTTTAACTCAAAAATCAATCAAAACCGATTTTGATTTATATCCCATCACTCTATTATATATTAACTCGTAAATCGTAATCACTCCTAGTGTCATGGTTAGTGGACATATTAACTCCTATCAGTAAGCACATGAAATGAGCTAGCTATAAATAGTTATAGCCATTTTATAAAGATTTTAATTTGATTTATAAAAGTATGTTAGCTATGATTATGAATTGTTTTATTATAGCCATTTTATGTGTTAGCTATGATCATGAATTGCTTTACTATAGCCATTTTTTTATCAAAGTATACGTGAGTTGACTAAAGTCTACCACGAACAATCTGCGCACAACATATACGTGTTTGTTTGTTGTTGTCCGTTGAGTCTGCAAAGCGGTGGCGATATACAGTACAAACATGGCGAGATGAGGGGTTTTTGATGGGCCTCACAGCAACATCAAAGCCATTGAAACCTGCAAAATTCCAATGGTGGAGAAAAAGGATACTAATGGGGTTTTTTTAATTTTGTTTCCCTTTCACAGTTAACTTTGAACCCTTCAGATTCCTTCACGGGGTTGTTGTTGTATGCTACACAGAGAGAGTACAGACCTTCACACTCTCTCTTTCTCTCTCTCACACACACACGCACACGCACAATCACACACACAGAAGTATGAAGAGAAAAAACGGCCGCAGACAACCCTCAAACGCCGACCTCGTTTTCTGCAAACGGCAGTGGCCTTGAGTTTTGAACCCTTTCGTAAAACTGCTCTGTCGTTTTATCCTCGTCCTCAAGATCAAGAACCACTCTCCCCATCTTTCTCTACCCCATCTTTCTACAAAGAGGTAGCCATTTTTTCGAACACTTCATCTGTTTCACTTATTTTCAAAATGGGCCGCGACGAGAGCATGAAAATGGAAATCGAAAACCTCACCCGAGAGCGCGACGCCGCGAAGAAGGAGGCGCGAGCCCTGGAGCAGACCCTGGCCGCTAAGGAGCTCGAAAGATTGAATCTTGACGAGAATCTGCGCAGATGCCTGAGGAAATGCGAGGATCTTCAGGAGACTGTGGCTCGCCTGATCGAGGAGAATAAGGTTTCGAGCGACCGTGAAAAACGGGCCGTGGAGCGATGCGAGAGAATCACCGCCGAGAATCAGAAAATAGTTTCCGAAAGGAATACCCTTTTTTCCGAGCTGAGTGCGAAAATCAAAGAGCTCAAAGGTAAGAACTTGGAAGCCGATTGTTTGGTGGGAGTTTACCAGGAGAAACGCAGGTGCTTGGAGAACGATGCTGAGAAAATGGGCCGAGAAATCGAGAAGCTGAAGGGTGAAATTCTTGAGGCGAATAAGAGCATGGATAGCTTAAAGTCGATGAAAATGGAGTCGGATAAGGCGGCCGAGCTTTACAAAAGCCGGCTCGAGAATCTTTCTCCGAGAATCAGTAGGATTGAGGAGGATATAGCCGATATGCTGACGGTGAAAGTGGGTGATCTTGCTGGTTTATCGCATAATTTGGGCAGTTCCTTTGTCCAGGGTGATGGGGGGAATTTGAATTTTCTGGATTGTTGGGGCAAATGTGATATTTCTGGGAATGGCAGCACGCCGGAGGATGCCGAAGCTGTTGTTTTGTCGCGTGGGGCCCACTCGGCTTCGAATTATAGTGGAGTGTCGTCGAAAAAGGAAGGTAGTTTGAGTTTATATATGTGATGCACAGTGAATTTGTTTGAATTTGTTATGATGTTTTTGTATTCTGTTCTGCTTAAGCGTTCAATAGCTTGTTGTGCAGTGAATGACCCTGCTAGCTGCGTATCTGTTGAGTTTAGCAGACTTGAAGAATCTACTGATCTCTGTTAGGATCACTTGCATGGATTTTATACTCAAATCTTGTATTTTTAGTGCAATGACCTCCTAGCTGTGTATCTGTTGAATTCTAGCGTACTTGAAGAATCTACTGATCTCGTTGGAAAAAAAATAAAAAGAATCTACTGATCTCTATTAGGATCGCTTGCATGGATTTTTTACTCGAAGTTTGTCTTTTTCCTTCATTCTAGTTTCTATAAATCTGTTTATGGAATAATCAAGAGCTACCTGTGAGAAAGGAATTGTGTTACTGTTTTAGAAAATGGATCTTTTGAAGCATTAACTCTCAAGTTTTGTTTTACCGAATCTGAGCTTTGACAATAATTTCATTAATTTAAATGTTCCGTGTGTATGTTTTAGGTAGTTCGATTATCTTAATTACGTAGTATAAGGCTAAAATGAGTGTTTGGATTGTGTAATGATAATAATGCATCTGGTGCATGACAACAGGTGATAGAAACTCTGTTCAACCATCATCGAGAGAGAATGATGCACATGCTGTGAAAGAGTCTTGTGGTCCACAATCAAATCGAAATCCTCCTCATGCAGAAGGTAATAAACAAAAAAAGCCGCCGAATTCAGGCATTAAAAAGAAAAGGTCTTAATGGCAAAGTTCCTTTTGTTATTTTTCTTGTTTCCTTTCCTTTTAATTGTAAATAGTAATGTTTGCATTTAAAACAATAAAAAAGGTCCCTTGTTGTTTCTCCATGAGTGGAAACTTATATCGAAACCCTGCAGAGAGCAAAATTAGTTCTAATTAGTAATTACATATTTTTCAAGGTCCAAAATTATATGATTATCTTGATTGAAGACATGCATTTTATTTTATGTTTTTCGCAAAGTTGCTTATCTTATGTGGCAACACATCTTCAAGCATAGTTGCTTATCTCATGAGGCAACACATTCTAAGCAACCTTTACATTAATCTTGATTAATACTCGTGAACGATGAAAATATGATTTCTTTCTGCAGAAACAAAAATGTGAAGATAACAAACATGCCACCAAACTCTGAGTTTCTATTCTTGTTCATATACATTGGAAGAAATTGTGATTTACTTAACACTCGCTAAATGCAATCCTTTACTAGTAATACTCGCTACTTATATATGCTTATGCTGTGCAGCTTCAAATGCTGTTAACAGAATCGATAGTGATGATGAAGCGAACGTTGGTCAAGCATCCCAATTTTCAAATAGAGGCGAATTAAATTCAACCATAGATAAAAATTGCACGAAAGTTTTGGAGAGCCAATCTTCTATCAGCAAGAGAAGCAAGCGAAATCAAACAGATTGCACGGATGATCTAATTGCAAGTTGGTCTACTAAAAAGAAAAGGAACAAATGGACAGGCAACAACGGGGATAATGTCTCAATTCACGAGAAGGAAAAAGAAGTTTCCGGATTGACTAATGATAAATCGAGCAGAAAATGGACGTGCGAAGCCGATATGTTACGAGCCTTTCGAGAGGACGAACAGCTCTGCATGAATGCTGTGTGTGCCCTTTATAGACAACAAGCAAAATCTAAAGGATATTCGAATTCATCTGGAAGTGGAGTATTCAGCCCTGTTGATTTATTCAGGTA